GCATAAATACCTGCGCGGTCGGGCGGAGAAGAAGTCTGCACAGGACAACATCAAGGACAGTCTGCCTCTCGACCTCCCTAACAAACCTTGGGTTCACCTCCTGAAGTCCAAATACGGGCCTAAGCTGTTCGTCAAGGAAGGACCCTATTCCAACAGACTTGGCTGGGATGCACAGAAAGAGGCACTTTCGAACGCAAAGCCTGTCTATCGAAAGAATGCCTCCAAGAATGTTGTTGTCCCTTCACATCCCCCACCCCCTGTTTTCTCGCTGCATCGTATAGACCGACAAAGCCGACGCTGGACGACGCCATCCAAAGCATGATGCACACAGTGACGCCGCATTTGCTACAATCTCGCAGCGCATTCGCGCGTCAGACCCGGATGTTTACGCGAGGATGCGCTTCAGCCACCGGCAGCTTGTCAAGGCGGCGCTGAATGAGTGAGAATGAGTCAGATTGACGTCGGCCACCCCAGACACGCCGATGCACGCACAGAGTGGCTCTAGCGTATGTCTTGGCGTCACGTGCTCGCAGAAGAGCCCTTGATCGCACATATCGCAACCTTATTACTGTGGAATGTTGATACAGAGCAGGGATATCGCAACCTTAGTACTATACATTTTAGCCCTTCTAGTTCTGAAGCGCGCTTGGTCGCCCTCGTACGCATAATCTTTAAATTCCAACTACTTCCTTCTTGCACCCTAAACCATTCAATCATCAACTCTCACACGCTGGCTGTTCACTATTACACTGTCGCCCTTAGCACCTCTTCACTTTCTACAATTACCACTTATCTACTTGACTAAACAATCTCAACATGGTTAAGAAAGTAGCTTTAATTACTGGCGGGGCTAGTGGAATGGGACTTGCTGTTGCGGAAGCCCTCGCAGTTCGTACTAATGAAGAGTGGGACCTGCATCTTGTCGACCTCAGCGCTGACAATCTTACGAAAGCCACGTCCTTGCTCAAGAATACGCATGCTCACCAGGCGAATGTAGCCGACTACGCCTCGCTGGTAGCAGCTTTCGAATCAGCATGGTCAAAGTCAGGTCGTCTCGACTTCGTCTTCGCGAACGCTGGTATCGCCGAACGAGACAGTGCGTAGCAATCCTGCACGTATGCTAATCAGACACCAACTGACTTGGTCACCAACACCTAGATTTCTACGAAGAACATACTCTCGACGCACCGCCTCCACCGCCGAACAGCCTCGTAGTCGATGTCAATTACACGGCAGTGATAAACACCTCATGGCTTGCGTTCCACTACTTCCGGAAATCGCTGGCCAAGCATGGCAGAGAGAACAATGATGCGGTCCTAGTCATGACTGCGAGCTGCGGTGGACTCTATCCAGCCGAGTTCTGCCCTATGTACTCTGGCGCTAAAGCGGCAGTAATCCACTTTAACCATGCTATTACAGTAGCATACCACCATGCTGGCATTAGGACGTTCACGGCCTGCCCAAGCACGGTTCGCACCGGCCTGCTGAGTCAGGAGGAATGGGAGTCCCTCCCAGAGAGCTTCATGACACCCATGGAGACAGTCGTCAACGCCGTGGTGAAGGTAGTGGATGGAGGAGACATTGAGGATGCTAATGGAAGGAAGGTGGCTGGCAAGGACAATTGGGGTCTGACTGTGGAGCTTTGTGGCAAGAACTTCTACTTTCGAGACGGTGTAGAGTACTGTGATGAAAACATGAGGATTATGGCGACGAGTACGGGCATGAAGGCGCAGCTAGAGAGGATCGGGAAGACAAAGACGGAAGGCGAACATGCCCCGTGGGGAGGCAACGTTGATAAAGTTTAATACTCGGCCAGTCCAACTCTTAACAATAAAACGCCGGTTTTCGCAGCCTACGCCACCAATTCAGACATATCAGCCGGGCCGCCAGCTTCAGGCATTCTTGTCTCTAACGCGTTCATGCTTCGATGGTATCGACAGAAGAACCATCCTACTATTACCAATGCCACCACTGCGAACGCTGCACCCAATGCTACCCCTGTTATTGCACCACCCGAGAGTTTCTTATTGTCACTCTCTGTTGTCGCACTGGAGACCGGCGACCAAATAGTCGTTGAAGAAGGTGACATGAAGGTCGTCGTTATCATACTAGTAGTGAGTGCGATGAGTAATGTGGATGATTGACCGTATATCATCGGTACGCTAGATTCCGGAGACGAAGTAATAGCCGAGGAGGATGGCAGGGAGGCTGTCGCCATCGTACTTGTCGTAGGAGCCAGGAGTGATGTGAACGATTGATCGTAGACAGTTGGAGCACTATCGATGTCTGGCACGATCGTGAAAATTGGGCCTTGCTGCCCGTCGTCGCCATGATTACGGTATTGGATGTCGAATCGGCATGCCCAGGCACTGCTCCAACCGCCGCCAGTTGTGTTTAATTCTCGCTGGGGCGAAAAGGTTGCATCGCCAGTTGTGTTGACCTCCCATGAATGCATATGAAGCCCTATAATATGTTAGCTGTAGCAGGCACACCCAATTGGATGTTGACATTAACTAAGAAGCCTTGCAAAGGCGATGACCTACAATATGCCTGAACTCCTCTCCCAGTGTTGACATCGCACCAGAAGTATAAGTAAGCTTGATCGTAGTTGGACACCCATTTGACGTTTAGGAGATCGTAGGCGTTGATCGTCAAGACGGAAGAACTGCTTTCCGGGTACAGGAAAGAGGCTGAAGATGATTGTGTCGCGGCACAGCGTAGAAGACTTGCCAAGACAAAGTAAAGTGATTGCCATGATTTGGGGCCGGGGTGAACCATGCTGTAATCGAAGATGGGCTAGTATGTCTATAGAACGGAGTGATCGAATACAGTAAAGATGGATGATCGCGTCGCGGACGTAAGGTGTCCAAGTGAATGGCACATATATACAGCTGCGTAGCAGTTTGGCCGCTGGGTAATTTCAAAGTTCTCCTGCAGATTTATTGTGTTACTGGTACATTCAATGAACTTCGTCGTGAGTTCTAGGCCTATCCTAGTGTGACTGCGCCACCACGCGTGATATACTCGTGTTACCGTTGTGCGTGTTCGTGTTTGGACCTTATTCGCTTTGGGACGGCGACGCGAGGTAGGGTTACACTGGCAAGTAACGATCGCTGGTATCGTGAATTCGGAAGTCTCTAGTTACCGGCACATCTGAATTGAGTAGTAGTTGTTCTCATTGCACATCGATTCTAAAGGATAGCCCTGACACTCAATTCCTTGTTCCATGTTGTCTTTATCGTATTTGTCGTCCTCACCATACCGCTTCGTTGTCCATGATCTCTAGCCCAAGATCGCGGCAGCCTTGTAGATTTGGTACATCGCTAGCCCACTACCAATAGCCCAAAGGCCGCTCCTGATCATGCTCTTCGAGTAAGTCGCGATTTGTACATATGCCAAAGAGTACGCCGCCCTGACTACGAACCAAGCTGTGACAAATGTTGTCAAGCCCGTCGCATCGCCTGAGATGACCTCTCGTCCAATCCCTGTTGCGGTGGTGCGTTCGGCAACGATGCTAGCGATAACGGCGGCGGCGAAGAGGGGCATTTGTTCCATGTTGTTCGACTGGGCGTTCTCGGCGCGTTGGTACTTTTTGAAGCTGTAGATCTGTTAGTACCTGACTAGCAAGGGATCCCGGGTGGGGAGAGTGGGGAGGCCTTACACAGCATCGGGAACCTTGCCCTTCACGGCTTCTGGCGACAACGCTGCCTTGGGGTTCGCGTTGTTGATCTTGTAGCCATTGGCTGTGAGAAGGCTAGCTGCGTATATGTGCGGGACGAGAGAGAAGACGTAGTAGGCTGGAATTGCGAGGAGCGGGTAGTTGAGCGAGTTGGAAGACATTGTGGCGGTTTCTGGATCGCTTTGAGGATGGGGGTTTCGAGATATCGTTCAACTGACTACGTGAGAGTAAGGCGGAAACTGCGGGCGTGATGTTGAGTTGGTGAGGGGTGTAATATACATCTGGGCATAGCTGCGGGTTGACTTCGGGTGCGTTGACGTAGCTATCAAACCTTATGGGCTCAGGGTCCAGCAATCATGACGCGTATCTTCTTCGGCATCCTCACCCAAGGCATCAACATAAGGTGCTTCGATATTGAGTTTCTCGGCATGTTCGTAGGGTTCGTCGTGTCGCGAAAGGGCCAGGCAGTGTTCCAGGGAGCTTACATGGAGGGGACAGGACTGACGCGCCCGCCGAGGCCAACTCGGAATCGGGATCTGGGCTTACTCAGCCAGGCTACAGAACAAGCCAGGCTACAGAACACGCCAGGCTCGTCGCGCTTCCATTCCTTTGACCCTTATGACAGCCGACTACTGATGGAAAGACTGGTGAATAGCGTATAAGCGTCTCTCGGCTGGCGAGTTGTTGCATCGAGGTTGAGGTTCCATAGGACTCTATTCGGTCGCGAATCGCATACACCACCTGGGCACCTTTCTCTTCTTGACGAATCCGAACCCTGGTGCTTTCTCTTCCTCGAGATACATCTCGTGCAGCCTCTGAGGTGTCATTTCCCAAAAATTAGCTCTGCCGAAATATTCAGAGGTCCAATTGAACTCGATCACGATTGCCGACGTGGTTGCAAGCAGTGCCTCTACCTAGGGCCAATGGCGTATGCAGCGCTCAGCCTGCGCCATGCAACCAGGCGCGAGCCAGCCTTGTCAACTTCGATCGTATGCTTCACTCTAGCCGCTCAAGAACCTCGAAGCTACCTGTCTCTTCCCTTGTTACCTGTTTACGCGTTTTCCCATAGTTACTACGATGGCCGTCTTGATGTAGCCACCACAGGACGAACCCGACATCTTAACTCAGCGTGTCGCACGTCAGCTTTGTAAACCCGCTGAGACCGCGACCCAGCTCTTTACTCTAGCGACGAGCCGTTGGGACTTTGAGGCAGGATAGTAGAGCTGCCAGGCCAGCAACTAACATGTGTTAGCCGCGCACTACGCCTATCGTCACAACACAACGACTGCCTATCCTCACGTACACATAATTTCTGCCCACAATGAACGGCAGAAGCGGCCCCAAACGGATGTTACGCATCGAAGAGGGTCAACACTACTTGCTCGAACCCAACGACGAGCTGCCGTACAAGTTACTTCGCAACCTGGGGCAAGGAGGATTCTCCAACGTGGAAGAAGTCGAGAACCGACATACTGGCATGGTCTTGGCCTGCAAGGTCTTCAAGTTTGGCGGCTCTTCAGCTGAGAGACAACGCCTTTTTGACAATGAGGTCAAGGTCATCCGCCGGTTAGCTTCGCATCACCACATCACTCGCATCTTCGCGACATACGTAGGGAGGGATCAAGTAGGCATCTTACTAACACCAGTCGCCGATCGCGGTTCGCTGGATATCTTCCTACGGGATGCTCATGAAGGTGAGCTCACATAGAGTGAGCTGGCAACCTTGCGCTATTCTTTTGGATGTCTCGCTAGCGGATTACGATTCATGCACGCCCAGAAGGTACGACACAAAGACATTAAGCCCCACAATATTCTGGTACATCAGGGATCTTTTATATACACGGACTTTGGCTCTTCCCTCGACTACAGTGAAGCTACGCGCAGCATTACGACGGGCCGCCCAACCTCCATAACCCGCAAGTACGCTGCTCCGGAGTTGCACGAATGGTCCCCACGCAGTTCTAGGACAGACATATTCTCGCTTGGATGTGTCTATCTTGAGATCCTTAGTGCACTTGTACTGGGTCCACTAGACACAGACATGACTCCATATCGAGATCATATCGAAGGGTTCTTCACGCTCATACGGAGGACAAGTCCTAGCTGTGACATTTGGATCGATGTTGTCAGGGATATAACTTGTCAAATGCTCAACGTCGGACCTGAAGCCCGACCGTCGGCTGAAACGATCACGAGCCAGCTATGGACGTGCTGGCCAGACGCTTTTTGTGGGCAGTGCATAAGGAGTCTCGGTTTACAGGCCCAACTCGTACCTCCAGTGTATTCCGTCTGTACTCCAGCGACAGTCGAGGATTACTGGTTCAGTCAGAACTCGCTCATGTCTTATGATCCCCGGTTCCAATCACCAGCAACGCCTGTCTTTGAGGCAAATCCCATATATGACCACCCGTTTCAACAGCAGATGGTATCTCAAGTAGAGTCGCCGTCAACGTCCGGAGGGCGTTATCATATAAATGCATGGGCCTATCCGGGCCAGGCTGCATCATCACTACAGATCGGTGACGTTTTAACATCCCCAGAAGGTCTGATTGCCACGCAGCCCGCTTCCAGCATGATGGAGCCGCATATTATAGATTGGAGCTTCCTCCCTGCATCACTGCAACCCTCTTCAGATACGACCATGGGCGACTCTTCTGGAGCGACACGCAAGGACTACCGCCGCGTGAAGCGAACGTACCCATGCCCAGAGTGTGGAGAACTATTGAAATGCAATTCCGAGTTCAAGTATGGTATCCAGATTCATGCAAATACCTGCGTACTAACTGGAAACAGGAAACATATGTTAAAGCATTCAAAGCCATTCAAATGCGACGTGCTCGGATGTAAAAGGACAGAGGGATTTGTCACAGTGAACGATCTCGAGCGCCATAAGAAGAGTCTGCATGGGATAGATATTGACAGATATTCTTACCAATGCGTGATAGAAGATTGTAGGGATCGTGCTAAGATATGGCCGCGAGTAGACAATTTTAGACAACATGTTGAGCACATGCACAAGGGAGTGGATGTGCTCGATGTGTTGCATCGGTATGATATCCTTGCTAATGCTATCGAACGACGACTAACAAGCTGAAGATCGAGGTGGCAGCCTCCCCGTCTATCGCCACTGTAGCTCGAGCCCCAGTAGTACACCCAATTCACTTGAAAGACCGAATATACATTATGCACTCCTCGCAACGCTCATAACATCCTCTTCCAAATGCAGCCCCCTAAAATGCGTCAGCACATCCGGCAACTTCTTCCTACTCCCATCAACCGCCGAATCCCTCTTCTCCCTCGCCGCAACCCCAATCATGTAGTCTTCCTCAAAAGCCTGAATCTCCACCCTCGTATCATTCAACCTGCCACACTCGTCCTTCTTCAACCCCCTCACGCCCGTCGGCCCCTTTCCATCCCCCTTCATCGAGAACCAAACCTCCGCATCACTGACTCTCTCACCCCAAGTACCATGCGTGCTACACCGCGCCGGCGTCCCCGGCCTCGGGGCACGAACATGCTTGAACTCTAATTGCGGTATCCACTCTGCGAGCAATGCCTCGCCATCAAGTTTGATGTACGCTTCTTTGAAGCACCAAAACGTGTAGAACCGTCGTAGTTTCGCATCGATGAGAAGATCTGAATCCAATTCCCTCTTTTCTCCGTTCGGTAGCGTAACGCTGAGATGCTCATTTCGCCTACAACAGCGATCGTGTCGACCTAGAATCTCATGCGTGACCATTGTGCCGTCTAACAGAGGAAACGGATCAACGTTGTACTTGATATCGAAGAGTTCTTCTCCACTGAAGAGCTCAGCGTACATATCCACCCAGCCATCAAAGCCTTCCTCGTCGACGACACGGTAGTCGTTTCGCTCGTTGACGCAGACGATATCTACGCCGACTTCTGCGTCGAGTTCATTGGTTGCGCAGCCTACGAGTGCGACGAGACCGGCTTGGTGACTGATGTTGAATTCCACGGGAGCCGGGCCATGTTGCGGTGGTATTAGCAAGGCGATAGGCTTTCCGTGTTTAGGATCGCGTTTGCGGCCAAAGCGGATGTCTTTCCATGGTATGCCGAGAGTTTTGTGGACGAAAAGGCGTTTGAGGAGGGCGGAGCCTAGGCTCATTCGCGCATCTGCTATGTGGTATTTGCGTTTTATGAGGTCTTGTTCCTCGGGGGTGACGAGGGAGAGTGCTTCTCGCGCCTACATGTTGTTAGTTGGTGTTCCAGGCAGATAAGGGTTTGTGAGATGACATACTGATTCTGAATCTGTGATCTTCTCTCCAGGCCATAGCGATCGCGTATCTAGCAGCCAGCACGTGAGACCGTGTCCCGTTGGCTCTTCATCCTGTTTGTCGATCATAGCGCCTTCATCCACTGTTCCTAGACTGATACTGGGCCGGATTGCGTTATCGGCTAAAGTAGTGAGACTAGACTACTAGAAGGACTCTGGCCTTATATGAGCCTTGGAAGCCTTAGTGCAGGTACGACCTTTCTTGACGTGATGTATAGAACGCGTGGGGATCTACATGTCATGACCGTTCACGGAGTCAATGGGGGTCCCGAGATGTCGATGATGGAGAGGTAGATCAAGAGCGGCACCGTGTCGGGGTAAGCGGATCAATAGGGCTGAACCGAACGCATGTGTGAGGTGACATGTGCGCGCGCGGGCGATTACCGCGTTTTAGTGGGGATCGGGCTTATCGATAAAGATTTCGCCATTGCCGTCGCTTTCCGTTGCATGACTGTACATTTGCTTGACGCTTCAATTCCTTTTTTTCTTACTGTCACGGAGTTTGTGAGGTTTGGTCGAGATTCAAGATGACGGTAAAGAACGGTACTCAAGAGATTACGGTAGGCGTCCTTGCCCTCCAAGGCGCGTTCAGCGAACACATCCAACTCCTCCGCGCGGCATCTTCGAATATCCCCTCGTCGCAAACCTTCCACTTCATTGAGGTCCGCACACCAGCCCAGCTTGCACAATGCGACGGCCTTATCATCCCCGGCGGTGAAAGCACAACAATGTCACTCGTAGCCGCACGAAGCGCCCTCCTCGAGCCTCTCCGCGACTTCGTCAAAGTGCAGCGCAAGCCAACGTGGGGTACATGCGCCGGTCTCATTCTACTAGCAGAGAGTGCCAACAGAACGAAGAAGGGAGGCCAAGACCTAATTGGAGGTCTAGACGTGCGGGTGAACAGGAATCACTTCGGGCGACAGACCGAGAGTTTCCAGGCAAACCTCCAGCTGCCCTTCCTGGAATCGACGAGCGAATCGAACAAGACCGATCCATACCGATGTGTATTTATCCGCGCGCCTGTTGTAGAAAAGCTATTGCCGAGTAAGAAGGCTGTGGGCATACAAGAAGGGGAGAGCAAGAGGGACGATACGATTGTTGCGCCGAGTAAGACGCCAGTGGATGATCTGGCGAGGAAGGAGTTGGAAAGCGAGGTTGAGGTCATGGCTACGCTGTCGACCAATGCGAAACCTTTGCAGGAGAATCAGGTTCATGACCATCCGGGCGCGGAGGATATAATAGCGGTACGGCAGGGCAATGTGTTTGGGTGCAGTTTCCATCCTGAACTGACGGATGACCCACGGATACATGTTTGGTGGTTGGGAGAGGTTCTCAAGGCGGTTGAGAGGAGGCAGCAGTTCGAACTTGCGGATCGGACTAGATGAGTGATAGAAAATCTTAGACATTGACAAGCGCATGACTGGGCGGCATTCTTGTATAGCATAAGAGAGGGATTTTGGAAGATGGTACTGAGTTTTGAGAAGGTATCTAGTATGGTATCTTTACCCCCTATGAGCATGTGCTTATAACTAAAGCACGAATGAACAATGCCGAATGATAGACGCCGGACGCCTACTTTGCAGTGATTTGAAACCCAGTTGAGTTTGGATTGGGCAAGCTTCCCCGTGTAACTGAAGTTCCCTTCGTCGTCTTCAGTCTCAGCGTAGTCGTGCTTGCCAAAGTGGGATGGGCGCGGCCGCGCTGGGTTCTCCCGATCAATATGGCCTGTGGGTTTCCTCGTGATTAACGTCCTAGTTGTCCGAGAGGTAGTCGTCCATTGTCATCTTACTGCGCTTCGTGGTACTCGTCCACAGCTCTGCCGTATCCGCCCCTACCGGGATCATATTCGGCTCTGTACTCGTCGCGCACCTGGCCACCACTCTTTCCGCGTCCGTACTGCCTTCCCTCAGCGAAACCCTCGTCCAGATCTGTCCTGATGACACGCTCGTCAAGCTTAGTGCCACCAATGTACTTCATGCAGTCGAGCGCATCCTGGTGTGTGTAGTATTCGACGAAGCAGAATCCGCATGGTGTCTTCTGGAAACGGTCGAGACCCATTACTAAGCGCTTGATCTCGCCGCATTTGCTGAACAGCTCGTGGATTTGCTCTTCGGTGGTGTAGAAGGAAAGGTTGCCGACGTAGAGGGTGGTTGCGTCTTTGAGCTTGTCTTCGGGTGAGGGAGAGCGGCCGCGGTCATCGTCACGTCCATTGCGGTCGCGTCTGCGCTTCTAGAAGAGAGTCAGTCTTTGAGTACAATGCGATGTGTTGTAGCCTCCCATACCTTTGCTGTCGCATACGAACTCGGCTTGTCGAGGCGGTCAATGGTACTGCGTAGCGCCGGCATGATGCGCGCCCTCAACTTCGATGTCGGCTAGATTCGTAGAAAGCGACCGTGACCCGGGGGAGTGAGAGAATGTCGAGGGTTGTTTTGGAGTGAGTGTAAGGATCGGGAGTGGAAAGTCGAGCTCGGAGCTCTCCAGACGCGTCGGTCTTGGCGCTGTATCGCGCGGCTGGGACTTTTGTTTGTCCACACCCTTACCTCTACAGTCCACGCAACTATTACCTACCCACTCTTAACTCTCTCAATATTACCCGAGGGAGCTCGCCGTCATGCCAAAAGTACTGGGTTATACGCCGGACTGGCTTAGCCGACCGAACCCAGGCTATCATCTGTTTGCGCCGAAGCAGACAAACGGGAATGGAGTCGCAGCAAAGAAACAGGAACCAGGACCGCGAAAGACGATCGCGACGAGGGGATCCGAGATATTTGTCGCTGTTGGGAACGAAATACGTTGGGCAGACTTGGTCAACCTCAAGGAAGAGCAGCAGCCCGCATACCGAACACTCAGAGTCTCGATACCACTCCCGATCACGCGTCTCGTCATTTCTCCCGAAGAAGACTATCTCGCCGTTTCCACCTCGCATACGGTACACGTGATACACCTTCCCGACTCGTCGCTGCTCGGAGCTGGAGAGGACGACGGCCCGTTGAAGCCAAAGGCCTTCCAGTTGGGCCCGACCGTACACGTTCTCGAAGAGTCGCCGGTCGCAACAACACTATGGCATCCATTGGGCTATCATGGACGCTGCCTAGTCACTATCACAAAGGCGGGCGTAGTTCGGCTGTGGGAGATCAACCGCGCCGACAGGTCTACCTTCAGTGAGCCATCGCTCTCCATCGATCTGCCCAAACTCGCAAACGCTACCAGCGACCAGGACGACCTGAGCGCCTCCAAATTCGGAGCTTCCAAGGGCTTCTCTCCCGACTCCGTCGAACTGGAAGTTGCATCGGCATGCTTCGGCGACTTCCCAGACCAAGAAGGTGTCCATGGCTGGGCGCCCATGACATTGTGGATCGCGACGGTACTTGGAGACGTATACGCGCTCTGTCCTCTGCTACCGAGCAAGTGGCAGTTAGTCGAGTCGCCCGGCAGCCACACATTCCTCCAAACCCTTACATCCTCCATCAACATCAACTACGCCGAGCTCTCAGAAGACGAGACATCGCCCAAAGATGAATTGAAAACATCGGAGAAGCAGGTATCATGGCTATCGGACATCTTATACGAGGAGCCTCTCGCAGAGGAGCGGGCGCAGGGTGATACAGTTCAGGTCTTCGCTCGCCCACACAGTGCGCCTGCGGTGCCGTTGCTACAAGGACCCTTCACTATCTCGCCCGAGGTTGACGATTTCGAGCTTAGCGACATGATTGTTTTCTCCCTCAAGACCCTCTCCGAGAGCGAAGAGGAGGAGGCTGCGGAGGGTCTACCGACAGCTGTCGTGTGCTTGCTCACCGAAACGAGCAAGGTGCATGTCTGCTTGGACCTTGAGGGCATCGTTGGGCGATGGCTGCCATCACCGGAAGACGAGATCGATACCACAGAACCAACCGAACACGAGCTGATCATTGCGGAAACAGTTACACTAGTGGAGAGCGATGAACCCTCTTTCAATCAAAGCATCACGCCAGACGTGCACACCGACTTCTCGTTCTTCGTATCACACGCCACCGGGGTCTTCTACGTCTCAATGGAGCCTTGGGTCAGAAAATTGGAGACTGAACTATCTCAGCCGCAGACCGAGGGCTCGCCATTCCGTATCAAACGCGTGTTGGAATCGGCAAACACCTCCGTGGACCAGTACCTACAGCGACGCGTCTCTGGCGATGTAGACGAGCAAGAAGTCACTGCAGTTGCCGTTATTGAAGACGGGAACGTCGGTTACCTTCTTCTCACCACAGTTGACGGTGAACCCCAAGCTGCTCTGCTCGATGCACCTGAGGAAGGACTCCCCACCCAGGAGGAAATTGCCGAATACATGGCAATCACTGGCCCTAACAAGGAAGTGCGTCAAGCTTGGCAACCACCAAAAGAACTCTACGAACCGTTCGATCTTTACAGTTCTATCAACATCCCCGCACGGCATCGAGGTGCTCTCAAGGATGAGATTAGGCTCTCTCCTGCAAACCTCGGCCTTCTCATGGATGTCCATCGCGTACTCTCTGCGCAAACATCCAAACTCCAACTCGCCGTATCCGATCTGTTCAACCGCGCGACGCGTCTGCAGGAAGAGTTTAGAGATCAAATCTACAGAACATCTGGAATCGCAGCAAACATCGACAGTGTCACCGGCAACGACCAAGTCGGTTCAGACAACGGATCAACATACGGCAGCGCCAACATCGACGAGCGTCTGGAGAAGGTTACCGCGCGACAAGATCAGATCAACGCGCGTTACGAAGCTCTTCGACGGAAAATGGTTAGCATCGGCTCCAGTGAACTCAGCGAGAAGGAAAGCAACTGGATCGAAGAATTGCAGACCATGGACAGCGCCATTGACCCTGCAAGCGAAACCTTGACCGACACTGTTGATGGTAGCGAACGCCCGGCATGGCAGCGTCTCAACAGGCTCAAGGAGGTACAGAAGGAGCAAGCTCAACAAATCGAAGCAGCTATGAGGAATGCCAAGCAAGCAGGCGAACACGAGCAAGCGAGGGGCACCGGTGTCAAAGTACCCAGCTACTCGAGGAAAGCAGAGAATGAACAGGTGCAGGAGCTGATACAGCGGAATAGTATGCTGGTTGAGGCTGCTACGGATAAGTTGCGGAACTTGGGAGTCAATATCCCCGTGGAAAGTGGTATTTAGGCGTTCGATGCGACTTGAGGCGGATTGTGAGAAGCCTCTCTTATGTGGATTTGATGAGTTGGTAGAGTTAGAGGATTGTAGGATGACGGTCTCGCCGTTTGGGCACGAATATCAATGTTGCAATGTTTCCATCAGCTAACTCGAGCTTCTTCAAGATGTGACGAGCACAGAGCCTGTAGGTAGCATATCGCGAGCGAAGCCGATAAGGATGATCTACGAAGACCGAAACCAACGACAAGTCACACAAGCGCAACACATACTCATAATAAACCTCCCAGCCAAACTACCACATACCACTCAATGCTACCCCCCACCACGCTGCCTTCGCGCAGCAGCCAACTCTTCCTCGAACAGCTCATCCTCCGACTTCCCCGGCAACTGCGTCTCTATCCACTTCCTCTGCCTCTCCGCACCCATTACATCAAAAACCAAGTCCCTCCCACTCTCCTTTTTCGTTCTCGTGTACAGCCCCGTCGTCACCTCCACTAGAACAGGAACGATGTCTGGTACCGTGAAGGGATCTATGCCGCGTAGATCCAACATCACATTTTCAATGTGATGCCGCCCTGGCAAGCAAGAAAATGCCTCATGCCAGGCCTCGGCGAGCGCGTCCCAGTCTTCTGGCGTGGGCTCATATTCGGGGAAGTCGTCAGGCAACATGTTGATGCGGAGTCCGGTGATGTATTTGACCGGCAAGGAGACATCTGACATGGAAAGTTTCGCGCCAGGCGGGGTTTGGGGTAGAGTCAGGGTGAGGGTACGTGTCCTGGGTGGTAAGTTGGAGAGCTGCTCGCCTAGTTCTGCCAAGGTTTGGGGATTGTTGATGCTGAGAGAGACGGGGAGGGGATGTCGGTGCTGATCGAAGGGACGGGTTTCCTCTCGTTGGATTTGCTTCGTGATGAGGGTTATTGTGGTTTCTTGTTCTTGCCACCGATCTGGCGATATATCGAGTTGGTCGAAATCCTCGGGATTTAGGTCTATGATCAGATTGAAAGGCCTTTCGAGGGATGATTGTTGTGTCGGTGATGTTGTGTTGATGCGTTGGGCGGAGAGGTTGTGTGACTGTTGTTGGAGGTTCGAGTAACCTAGGTATTAGTAGGATCTGGTGATTAGGGAGACTGTAGGCGATGAAACACTGCGAGACGAATGTGTAGACAAAATGTTCGATTGTTTTTCCAAAAGTTGCAATCCGATCAGTCCAGTCACTTGTTCGATGATCTCACCCCCAGCATTACATCGAGATGTCCTCCCCACATCGTCGGCTCGGCTAGCCTAATCAAGATAGCGTCTTCGGCTAACCTCCCAGAGCCTCATTGCATACCCTATACAACACTACCCTCACCAAACTTCACATTCCCATACCCAACATCCAAGATGTCTTCCAAACCAGCCGTCATATCCGTCATCGGCTCCCTAAACGTCGACCTCGTAACCCGTACAGCTCGCGTCCCCGTCGGCGGCGAAACGCTAACCAGTGAATCCTTCAACATTGGCTGGGGTGGGAAAGGCGCAAACCAAGCCGTCGCATGTGCGCGTCTCTCTCGCACCAAAGCGCAAGCTTCTTCGTCCCAGGACTCCGATGTTGAGGTCAGGATGGTGGGTGCAGTTGGTGACGACGAGTTCCACGAGGGGTTCTTGAAAGCTCTACGAGAAGATGGATTGTCGACGGAGAAAGTGCAGATTCTCAAAGGAAAAAAGACGGGTGTTGCTGTCATCATCGTCGAAACGGGGTCGGGAGAGAACAGGATTATGTTTTGCCCTGGTGCCAATGGCGATGTTGAGGTGCAGGATCTTGTGGATGAGGATGCGGGGGTTGCGCTTTTCCAGCTGGAATTGCCGTTGCAGGTTGTACTGCATAATATGAAGACGGCGAGGGAGAAGGGCGTTGAGACTATTATTAATCCTGCGCCTGCGGTGCCGTTGCCGGATGATGCGTATCATGGGCTGGGTCATCTTATCGTTAATGAGACGGAAGCGATGATCCTGTCGGGGATCGAAAAGCCGAGTTCGTGGGATGAGGTTGCTGCTGTGTTTATTGCGAGGGGGGTTAAGAATGTTATTATTACACTTGGTGGCGAGGTAAGCAGTCCCCCAACGTGCAATCTTACTCGTATTTACTCGGATGTTCAGGGCGTGTTCTACAAGACGGCAAAGCAACAGGAGTCGTCTCAGCAAGGTCATGTTGTACCAGCACGAAAAGTCAAAGTTGTTGACACAACAGCCGCAGGCGACACGTTTGCGGGCGCCTACACTGTTGCCGTCGCGCGTTGGAAAGCAATGGCACGGGGAGCGGACTTTGATCTCGACGCTGCAATTGCGCATGCCAATAGAGCGGCATCAATGACAGTGCAGAAAGCGGGAGCACAGTCGAGTATACCATGGGCGGATGAAGTACCAGAGTCATAATCAACAAGACAATGAGAGCCAAGCCAGCAACGGATCTTTCATATAGCGGCTTGTCCCTCTAAACAAACCGTCAAATCATAAAAATCTTACAGTTCAAACGTCCTACCCTCCCACATCCTCCCCATCTCCCCAACATAAACCCCCTCATTCCCCACAAAATGCCCACAATGCGGCGTCCCCTCAAACACCACCTCTCCCACATCCCACCCCTTCTCCCTCGCCATCTCCTTATGCGCAACAACATCCTCCCAATCCGTCATCCGATCAGCCTTGCTGTACAAATAACACACCCTCCCCTTCTTCCCCTCCCCCTCCCTCAACCCACAAATAAACTTCTCATCCAACAGCGTCCGACGAACCAGTACCTCAGGGTGCTCGTATCGTCCCAACGCCACACTCGCCCGCAAGATGATTAGGATACCGTGGACGAAGACGTAGCCCGCTGAGCGAACGGGACCTGGAGGCAAGGAGAGAACCATGGCGTTGTATGATTTCCAGTAGTATCCTGCTGCGGGGCCGGAGTCCATTATGATACCGGTGATGGGTAAGGGTGCGGAGGTCTGAGTATGAAGGGCGAGGAGGAGGGCTGTGGCGGAGATGGGGCCGCCGTTTGAAAAGGTGTGGATGAGGATTTTGGGGGTTGGGTGCGTTTTGGTGGTGTTTGCGGTTGAAGATGAAGGGACGTTGGTAGATGCTGTATAAGTGCAGTCACTCAGTATTGAGCGCACGACTTCGACGGCTGGCATGATGGCTTTGTGTTGTGCTGGGTAGGAGCTTGTGACTGATGTTACGTCGCTTTGGATGAGTAGGATTTTGGCATTGGGTGCGATGGTACGGTAGGCGGCGATGTATTTGTTGATGTGTTTTCTGGCGGCACCGAGCCATGTGCATAGGATGATGAGTTCGCCAGTGGTGTATGGTTGTGGGGTGTACAGAGATATCCGCGGTCCGAGTTTAGAGAAGGATGGGGGCGGTGGTGTGGGCGTAGGATGTGTTGCTAATGGCATGATGGATGGGCTGAAGTGAGCAAAATGCTTGGTGTTTCCGTCACAGTGCCTGCTCTTACTGATTAATCTAAACTGGGATGTAGAAAGATTTTCCTGAACTTGATTGAAGACATATGACTTTATACCGTTACGCGCGTTCACTAATCCAGCTTATCATCCGAGGCTTGAGAAGCGTGTCTTGGTTCCTTGAAAGCCAAGCTGGTGCCTTCCATGTAAGCCGGCATACAAGGAACGTGCGTAATCGAGGCGTACCATCTAACAACCACTAGTCAGGTTGGGCGGACCTTGCGAGCTTACAGGAAAATGTGATTGGTCCATGCGCCCTTACATCAACCCATAATCAAAGTCGTCCATAGGCAGCGGCTCTACCATGCTGAGTTCTCCAAACTCGCTACTAACTTCTTCGGCATCATAGTCGAAGTCGTCAAACTCGTCATCATGCTCGTTATCAATGCTCTTGTCCTTAGCAGCATCACTGCCGTCTAAGACAAGAACCTCGGTAACAGCGACTTCGGTCCCTTTCTTCTGCAGCCTGACAGTGGAATTCTCGGGGCTTGATAGATCGTGTGGTTCTGGGAACGATCTCGTATTGGTTTCAGGAAAGCTCTTGGGTTCTTCCATAGGTGTTTTATGCAGAGCCGGGGTGGATGATTTGACGTTCGAAGAGGGATGCTCAGTCGCGGATACACCAGTAGAGGTCAAGGAAAGACCAGACAGATCACTGTTGGACGCTGGAGCTTTGGTCGGCTCTGGCTCTGTAAGATCTATCAGAGAGTGCGAAGAGTCGTGAGCCGCAGCAACCGGTCGACTTCGGGGCTGAGGCCTGGCGACAGGCTCCTTTGTTTGCTCAGTCGTCGCCTTACGCTTAGCCTCCTTTTGAGCCTGTTTCTTTCGCCTTTCGGCATCTTCGAGAGCGCGTTCTTGCTCAGATACCTTGTTAAAGTCCACATCACCGAGTCCAACTCTGACCAGTATCGTACCGACCAAGTACCGATACTGGTCGTGGCCACTAACAAGCTTGCTTACATCGATATTTTCCACGCCATGAACATTTTCGATCTTTTGTAGACCAGCGACACCCACCTGAAGCTTGGCAGATCGATAGAGGAAGCCGAGCACATAATCTTCCGTGCTGTGAACATTGACAACGCGTCCCGCAACAACTGATCGTATTTGTCTCCAGCGCTTGCTGTTGGCAGGAGCAGGTGTACCCATGAGAACGGCTGACTCAACAAGACCGAACGCGTGTTGTTCCGCAAGCTCGATTAGACATGCGTACACGACACGTGCACCTACTGAATAACCAGTAAGTGTGACAGGTCTCTTCCCTTGCACTCCATCAATAAGAGCATGTGCAAGCACCTTCCCGGCCTTGTCGGCTCGCGCAAGTGCAACCAGAAAGGGGTTATCCAAGACACTGGCAGCTTTGACAAGGCCAAGAGGCCACAGACCTGCGTACAAGGCGCCAAGAAGCGTGCGACTGACGACAGTGTATGTGACGCCATCGAAAGCATATCCAAAAAGTACATCGTTGAGGGAGTTGCCGAGACGCAGCATGGCATCAAGCTCGAAACGCAATGCGAATGGCTCAGTTGTGCCCGAATCGACCACCTCCCAGGGCTTACTGACGTCCGATGGCGAGCTTAGCCAGCCGCTGACACCAATGGATACGCGTAATCGATGCTGTTCACGTTTCTGTGGGTCACGAGCATCTTGCTCGTCAGCCCAGTCGAGCTCGCGTTGATTCGTCGGTCGATCGGGATCTGGTACAGTTAGCTTCAAGCAAGACTTCATCTCCGCCTGACATACCTTGAACCGGAAGGAATTCGAAGTCTTGAACCTCTTTCGCATACTGGTCCATTAGACGTCCCGTCATCTTCGCACCGTAGGCTCCGAATAGCGATCCAACAAGCACCGAGCTGCCCGCCAACGCACCAAGATACGTTGAAACCACGCCCAGGCCCAATCCGCCCATAACAGTACCCAGGCCTGCGGCGAGTAAAGGCGCAGCGAGACCGCCAGTAACACCAATCAGGACAGCACCGCCCACAGTCGCGAGACCAACCTTCCAACGGCGTGACACTGCATCATTTGACGCTTGATTCTTCGCTGTCGCTTCAGCGTCCATCTGAGAGGCAGCCGTCGCCAGGAGACCTTGCGCAACCGACTTCTCATGCTCGCCTAGTAGATCAGCCTCGAGCTTCAGACTGCTTGCGAGACGTAGCAACAAGATGCGCGAATATGCCGAGTATTGCTCCAAGCTCAGCAAAAGCAGCAGAAGACAGTGCAATACCAGCACGCGCTTGTCTTCCTCAAGAGGCAGCAGCCTAGTCTCAATCACCTCATAGTGCCCGTATCTTGTGTTCTTGGGTCGTGTGGGAGTTGTATTCGCGAAGGGATCGAGATCGTCGAAATCGATGAGCGAGGAGATGCCCTGATTCTGCCTGTCGGCTTGATCCAGCATTTGCTTCCGCTTTGCCTTTGCCTGCCGGACAGTCTCACCCCGTACAGAGAGGACGTCGCAGATACGATGCATAACGCTCGCCCGCCATTTGTCGAAGAAGGTCAAGGCACTCCGTCGCAAAGCCTGCATTTGTGTAGACTCATGTTCTTGTGATGATTGCCTAGTGGTAGGCGCTGGTTTGGTGGTCTGTCCCGGCTGGTCGAAGCTCATGAGATCTGGTGCCTGATTTCCAGGTTTGGGTGCGGGCGACCGGGTCGCAACGGAGGGTTTCGGTTCGGGATCGTTGTATGGCTCAAAGGTGGCCGTAAGGTCATTTCGCATGGCATCGATGCTCAGGAGGACGAGCAGTGCCAGTTCGACGCGTAGGGTGGGAGTCTCGAGGACCGAGGTGAGCGAAGCCCCTTCATCTTTGCTTGCTCTCTCTGGAGCACTACCAGATATTGCACTGGCAAAGTTGGAGAACATGCTGACCCAGTAGAGTAACAAAGACCAGAAGACGAAAGAGTACTTCCAGTAGGGTCGTTTACACGGGACGGGGCATCGTAAACCACGCCACTTTGATTGACAGGGCGCCTGAGTCGCAGAATCTGGCCCCCATGTTTTCAGGTACCAGCATCCTTCAGATCGCGCTTAGCGCAAAGACAAGGATAGATCATAGTGCTCGCCGGGTGTGACTGCGCGAGAACGAGAGACGTGCGGGTTGTCGTTTTGATGGTGATGGGACAAATGGTTTGTGGTCGCGACGCGGCGTCACTGGATCGCGCGACAGCAGGTGGGATGGCTCGCTCCACTTTAACCGGCCCGCGCCTAGCGTGAATCGCTCACGTAGATATGCTGCCATGTTTCTCTATTACACTTTACTTAGGACCTAGAATTTAAGTGCGCAGCTAAAGCCTAGGTAATGAAAGCGCAAAACTGCTAGTAATAAATAGATAAGAGATAAAGAGAAAGCTAACAAGTAGACAGAGTTAAGTAGTAACAGGCTGTAGTAATGCGCAGAGGTTAATTAGCGATGCAAGAGGAAGGGCGACAGCTCGATCTCTGTATCAAAAGCGCTAAGAATTAGATGGAAAATGCTGAGTGGGCGAGCATGGCATTCAAGGAATGTCGTTGCGTTTTGCATCATCGACATGATCATGGTAACGCATCTAGCCAGCTGCAGACCCTCGTCATGTCTTTCCTGCCCGAGGGCGATTAACTATACGACCCCAACACGACCATAAGGATAAGATCAATCTCTTCATAATCCCGTTCCTCACTATCCAATAAGCAGCAACTCAGGCGCCCTGGTCATAGCCGCAGCCCACCCCTAGCGAGGGCTGAGATCATAGTCACTCTTGATACTGTTACACGCTACAGGCACTTCCGCTTCGATTTCTCCCCTTGCAATCTTCTCTTCCTTTGCCTTCCTCTCCTCACGATACACCCTCATCTCCTCATCGCGCGTATTCTTCGATTTCATAGGGAAAATAATGCCAGGTGGCGGGTTCCACCACTGTCTATTCACCATCGCATTCAGAGTCAGCTAACGTTTACATATTCAGTGTGCGGCACTTACTCCTGTGGAACCGTTCTGCCATCAGTTCCTCGGTAATTGTCTTCCGTCTCCTGTTTCCACGGCTTTGTGTCAAGCCAGGCTTTGATCATCTCTGGCGTCATGGGCGCCGCATCGTATATCTCGTAGTCGCTGATCTGGTCGGGCGGACCGGGGAGATAGTGGATCTCTCTGTAGACTCCGTCGGTGCCGATCGAACCGATGCAGTGCCCATCTGGATGGATTTTCGTTGACCTTAGCATGGCATTGAATTGTTCTTTTCCAGTCTGGGGTTGCGCAGGTTTAACTATGTCACTATTGGAGCCTTCGAACTGAGCCGAATCCTTTGGCTCGAGTTGATCTTGGCTTTGGTCTTCACCTTCTGGTTTCGCTCGGGACGACAGCAGGGACGCTGTCGGTGAGGACATGGTTGTTTCGTTGACGATGGGTGGGTGAGGCGGCTAAAATCTACCAACAGGACATTATCCTAGTTATAAGCAACGCATGCGATGTTGCCTAGCCGGCTACTATGTGACGTAGCGTTGCTATAATACGGCACAGTCGCTGTGCAGAACTTTACAATGTTGTGTTACGGTGCTCTCCTATGGAAGAGCTGCTAGCGCTTCAAGAAGGGATATAGTGCGCGGGTACACGGCCAATCATCATACTCACTACGTCCCTCTGTCTAGGCAGCCCGAGATCAGGCCCTGTATACGATAACACTCTTGTGAGCTTGGTAGACATTGCTCCATGTTTGAAGTACAAGCACCAGCAACCCAATTAGAGAGGACACTTTGGTGTCTGGTCGTCGATATCGTGTCTTCAGCAAGTTTGCGTGGAGATGTGAATTCTGATGAACAGAGTGCATAGCGCCATCGTCGTGGTAAGACGCCGCCGGCAGGTCCAGCAGGGCGGATTGCTGATCGCAACATGTAGGACACTTTGTGAGAGAACAGCCTGTGAGATGCAGTGGTGATCTTGTCCTATGCGGGATGTGGTATACACTCTTCCTTAGGAAGGCACTCTATCAAGCATTAACCTCGCCATACGATTTTGAGTGTCTCATAGGCACACTCTATCATATCAGATTACCCTCCACTACATCTGTTATACACGCTCCTACATTCGATATGAAGCTCTCGCTCTACTTATCCGCTAGTGCGACCCTTCTGCTGGCAACAGCAGCCCCAGATGAGCCCGTACGTACCTGAAAACGCTATACCCATGCGATTGAGTACTGACGGTGCATCCAGTCGCTCGCTGAAGCCATGAGAAGCCTCGAACCAAGTGACGGCATAACTTGGCTTGCAGATGACGGAGTGTTGCGTAGTTTCAACGCTGCCCGTGACACTGTCGTTGACTACGCCCAACTCAACGAGCGCCAAATCGCTGAGTACATCGAGAGATACGACAAGAACCGAACGGGCATGTCAGGCGTGTAAGTAACATGACCTACTCTATATCCATCCCGTGAACTGGCTAGACACTAACATCATAGGTAGTGATGGCCGCGCAGTGACGTCCGATGCTCAGCTTTGGGCTGTTCCAGTCGGCGTCGTCGCACGCACGCCGAATGCCAGAACATCCGAGAACCTAAAAGTGCCTAAGACGTTAATCGCGAGCCGACCAGCTTGTGTCGAGGGTTCCATCTGTAACGAGACGCCCGATTGTTATGAGTACAATTGTTTACGATGCGTTCCTGTCGGTTCAACGCCGGGGGAATGCCTACCACAAGGTGGTTGTCCATCCATTCCTTCTCCGAATGGACAATGTACCAACAACCTAGAAGCCTAGGTACTAAGGTGACATCGGGAGTTGAGACAGTACGTCCCGGGGTCGAATTGCGATTGACAACGCTCTGAGGCTGGGAAAGATACCGGGGTTGAATACAGCGTGGACGAAGGCACGTCGTTTGTCATAACTGTAATTGGCGCGTGTGGGTGGGTGGGTGTCCGTGGCATGGCCCACCAATTTGAACGCGGGAGCACCAGTTGCCATAGGGGAAGGCGATGCCCAGTTGAGCTAGTGGCTTGGCGCTGCGTCTTATGATGTCATCTCAGAGCTCCTTTTCTCCTACTTGGCCAACCGGCATATCACCGACTCTACTTTGTACTGTGCTCCGTATCGCGACACTCAGCATCAGATAACGGGGACAATGCAAATTTCGAGGCTCATGATCTGTCACTAAGGAGCATGCGTGGTGGTATGAAAGGAAGGTTGTTGATTAATCAATTAGGGTAATTGTACATTTTAACCGGTGCGAGGAACACTCGCATCCGTGTTGATGTTGTAGTATCCGCGCATTTCCTTCCGCCCCCGATCTACAGAGGCTAGCTGCGTGCTTCTGGCAATGCGAACTCACAATAGAGAAGCAGGACAGGAACGGTAGGTGACCAAAGCCAGCTTAGGGAGCAGTGCTATCAGCATTCTTCTGGAAGAGTCGCTTGCGAGGCATGAAGATGCTCAAGACAAGGACAAGAGCGCCACCGGCAATAGTAAGGCTGTAGGTCTTGCTAATGGCACTGACGATAGCGGCAAGAACGCGGTTCTTCAACTCCGGGGATAGGTTCTGTACGATATCCGATCGAGCGCCCAAGATAGCGGCCTGGATGTCTGCCGAAGAGACATCAGTCAGAATGCCCTCGATCCTGTTCTGGCTTTGGTTGAGAAGGATAGCGTTGGCGATGGCCAGAGCAAGGGTGATGCCCACAGACTGAGCCAGGGTGATGAAACTGATCGCTGGCGCAATGTTTTCCAGTTCGACAACTGCCTGGGCAACTGAAAAAGGCGCCTGGAGGAACATACCGACTCCAACTCCCATCAGAACCGTGAAGCCGTATACGCGAGCCGTAGCAGTGTCCAGGTCGATTGTGTACATGAGGGCGGAGCCGATCACGACCAGGGCGCCACCACCAAGGAACCAAGGCATAACGTATCCTAACTTGGACATCAAGCCACCATTTATGAAGACGGTAACGACCATGACGACGATATAAGGGAGTAATCGCACTCCAGCATCGAGGGGACCGTCGCCCTGGGTGAACTGGAAAAAGATTGGGACCATGTAGATGGGCACAAAAGAGCACGCTCCACCGGCAGCGGTGATGCTGAAGAGAATGAGCACCATCCGTGATCGGAAGAACTGCACAGGGATGATGCGACGCACTTCCGTTGTGAGTATGTTCCAATACTGTTGTATGCCCAGAATGATGAACAGAACACCAGATACGACGAACAGCGCGATGATGCGGCCTGAGTCCCACGGATACGAAATACCACCCATGTTGATGGCAACGATGAAAGTCGTCAGCGCGCCGGCCTGCAGTATAGTGCCGGGATAGTCCATGTCGCTAATGCGGGCGCGGAACGAGACACCAGGCCGAGGATCCCTGCTGGGAATGAGGAACAGGTAGACTGGAGCGCACGCCGCGCCGATGAGTAGGTTGATATAGAACGCCCATCGCCATCCCACAGCAGACTCGCTGAAGGCACCTCCGATGACTGGGCCCAGGACGATACCGAGACCCCAGGTAAAGCCGGTGCCAGAAACGTAGACCGGACGTTCAGACATGGTGGTGGTGCTCGCAATAAGCGTCATGCAGCCGACGTACAGACCAGATCCTCCTAAGCCCGTAATGGCACGGCCGAGAATCATCACGTTCATCGACGGCGCAGCACCGCAGATGGCGGAGCCAATCTCGAAGATCGCAACATGGAAAATGTAGAGCCACTTGGCATCGAACTGGCCGTAGATGCGTCCCCAGAAAAGAGTGGTTACTGTAGCGCAAAGCAGGAAGCCAACACTCAGCCACGACAGCTGCTGAATGCCGCCGAATTCTTCGACAATGACAGACTGGAGGTCCGCGACTACCGTAGCGTCAAGTGCGTAGAGAAAGGTGGAGAACAGGATAGACACCACAGTCAGGTACCATTTCCAGCCAGAGATGTCGCGCGGAGGCTTCTCCGGTTCCGCCGTGCTGCCGAGATCGCCAAGCGTCCGCTCCGCCGGCTTCTCGTCGTTGATTGAACGCGCGACTGGTGTCGAAGAAGTGTTGGAATCCATGGAAAGAGATAGGAACGGAGGTGTAGGTTGAGTGTGATTTTACCGGCTAGAGTACTGTAGCTACATGTTTCTTTCAGATGTTTTGTCCCCCAAATAGAGCAAGCAGCGTCGGGGTTGGTAATGCACAGCATGAGAAAGTGCCAAGGACCGTAAAATGTCGGCCGAAAACGTCGGGTCATGTAGGTAAGCAGCGGGATTACCAATCTCACCCTTTCACTCCCATGACTCCCACCCGACGACCTGCAGCGATCGGCTGACTGGCCCGAACAAGCGACAAACATTACGCGCCCGATGTCTGACAACAAACCGGGCCCGACACGATGCGGCAGCTGCACAACTTCAAGCAAGAGCATGATGGCCAAAATGATGACTGGCGGCTTGTATAATTTGAGAATGCGTTCTCAAAGCATGAGGGACAGTATCTCATTTTGATCAGCACGACACGCGCAGCGCCATCATGGCAACACAAGCAAACGGTACTGTCGCTAAATCCGCTCCTAACACCGAAACGGTCGACTTGCTCGCCCTTGCTCAACAGGTTACTCAGCATACGCAGGCAATCGCCGACTATTTGGTAGCAAACAAATATGCCTCGCCTACGTTTGCATCAGACTGCATCGACCGCCCAGAAACGATCGAGTACGCTGAGCTTCATGGTAACTTGAAGCGCTCCCTGGAAGACCTCCAATATCTTGTCGAGGGGCCCAAACGACACTTCCGCGCACTTTGCTGCCAGGGCTACGAGCTCGCAGCCATTCAAGTGGCGCTCGACTTCAACTTCTTCAGCATCGTCCCCGCGCATGGCAATATCTCGCTAGTAGACTTGGCCAAACATGCAGGTGTTGACCTGGACAGGACCAGCCGCATCGTCCGCCTCCTGATCACCGAGTCCATCTTCCGAGAACCCGCCCATGGCTATGTCGCCCACAGCCCTAGCTCATATCTTCTACACCATGACGAAGAGATTCGCTCGATGGTGCACTACACGTATGTCGGAAATCGCAGCTATGGTATATTCGTCCACACACTGACCCTCTTCAATACAGTGTTGATGAGATGCTCAAGGCTGCATCCTCTACAGCTGATAATGTGAAAGCATCACCGCTTGAGTACAACAGTGCACTCACGCCGTTTACCACTCGACACGGCCTTCCCATCTTCGAGTTCTACGAGAAGGATACCCAGCGTTCCATTCGCTTTGCTAAAGCCATGGCCGGGTGGGCTAAGCGTAAGTCGTCCTCGTACTGAACCAACCTTCCGGCCTAACACCGATGTGCTTCTAGTAAACTTGAACATCAACGTCCTCAAGGAGGCCTTTCCCTGGGGCAACCTCAAGGGCACTGTAGTGGACGTGGGTGGTGGCAGCGGCAAAGTCTCCATCACTCTGGCTGAACAGTTTCCAGCTCTCAACTTCGTGGTACAGGACTCCGCCGACATGCACCTAGCGGGTCAGGCTTTGCTCACTCATGAGACTAAAAAGCGGGTTTCCTTCATGCAGCACAGCTTCTTCGAGCCGCAGCCGGTGGGCAACGCAGCTGCTTACATCTTGCGGGCGTGCGCGCTCAACTGGTGCGACCAGGACGTTGTCACCATGTTGCGCTCTCTAGTCCCTGGACTCGAACGCTGCGAGCCCAACACTCCACTGCTCATCAATGACCTAATTCTCCCGGCCCAGAGTTCGGTCACACGCGACTTTGAGCGTGGCCTGCGTCAGATTGACCTCATCATGTTGGTGAGCTTTGGTGGCAAGGTGCGCACTCGGGATGAATTTGAGGCTTTGTTGAAACAAGCGGATGATAGATACGAGGTTCGCAGCTTCCGTCCAGAAGGTCTAATGGGGCTGCTTGAAGTGTACCTGCAACGCTAAGCAATACAGTTGCAGGATCAGGCAGATTTGGTATGCATGCGCGTCGCGGTAGTTTGAAATTGAAATATTCACCGCTAAGATTGCTTGCTTGCTTCCGGTGAATCATGTACTGTGGTCCCAATTGGATATAGTGTGTAACGTTTGACGAAGCCGATTTCAAAAAATCATACCACTACTGATGACGCGAGTACGCAACCATCAGTATGTAGTCAGCCCTACTGTGTACTCATGCATTGGGTATTGGATATGAATGCTTTCGGATCTTTTTAGACTGCCGCTGTAGTGCATCTTATCTCTAGCCATTCACCATATCTGGCTTGATGTGCGCCTCCCGTCAGCGCCAGTACTTCCGCTGCAATGCGTGCCGTTCCCTTACCGTTCCCTTGCTTGGCAGGTGCAAGGGTACCTGCCGCGCCAGGCCCTGGAGTGACCACAAGAAATACCACCACCCCACACTCGATCTCGGTCCTCCGCGCTTGCTGGTCATTTCTCACCTTTTCCTGTCTCCATGATGCAGAGCATTGGAAAGAAACGCATCGTGTCGTCGTGCATTCCGTGCTACACACGGAAACAAAAGGTGCGACAGTCTTTTGTTGTTCTCACTTGCCTTGAACCACAACTTTGGGCCGGTGAAGGACGTACCAAAACGCACGAGGGCAATTTAGGCTAACTCAGTATCGCTAATATGTAGTGCAACCGTCGCTATCCCTGCGATCATTGTTCTCGTCGCCGACGCCCGGAGGAGTGCGCATACTACCCTTCGCAGGCATTGCAGACTGATCACACGTCGCTGCGGACCCAGAGAGTAGAGAATCGTGGGAACGAACATGAGCAACTCACCGCGGATCACAATCTTCAGCCGCATGACAACAATGCCAGTGGCTCTGCCACTAACGCCCTAACGAATTGGAACAACGCAAGACCGCGAAGTTCCACACCTGGCGCAAGCAGCAACTCTGTTGCGGAGTCTTTTGGATACTTTGAGTACAGCGAACGCAATGCAATCGCCTTGATTCGTAAGGTAAGTCGATCGCACCTCCAACTGCACGTCAACCTAGGAAAAGACTGGACAGGTCTAAAGCCTACATTAACATGGACACACGCAAAGTAAGTGGCCTAGTGTTGGTGCAAGCTCTAGACCTGTTCCGCTTTCTCCTTGTATGAGGTGGTCACTGTACCTGAACAAATGAGGCAACCGATCAATTCATCATCCATCTAACCAGCACTGGTATAAACAGCTAGGACTGAATAGCGGCGAGCACCACGGCAATCAGGACGTTACCCAAGAGGCGTCCCCGGAGGTCGAACAACAAATGAAAGGATTACCTGATCGTCAAATCTGCGACTTCCTGGTCCAGTATTATATCGACGAAATTCACTGGTAAGTATCCGCTCGTATCTTCTTCATCGACCGTACGGAAATCGTAACCATGAGCTGCGAGGAGGAGTATCTCATGTCCTTATCTTTGTCACTAAATGAGGGAAAGTTTTGCTAAAGCTGATGTATAAATATAGGAAGGAGCAGCTTGTGCACCCACCATGGTTCTTAGCACAGTATCAACAACTGTGGAGCCTGGAAACTGTGTCATCTGTCTTCTACGTAGAGTTCGTGGTACTACTCATGCGAATGTGTTCGTACGCATCCCAGTTCCTTCCTTCACCGTCACATCCTATCGACCGCATTCGCAGAATGTCTTTGTCTGAGATCCGCACGTTATGCGATGACATCGCGGAGAAGCTATCTAGTCTATGTGCGCGACTTGATGCCAGAGGCTCTTTACTACGCGTGCAGCACATGGCGTTCTTGGGACTGCGACTTCAGTGTGAAGGGCAAAACATGGCTTTCTGGGAAACGCTCAACAAAGCTGCTCTGGTAGCTCAGAGGGCCGGCCTCCATCGAAATCACACAGTTCATATGCCAGAGATGCATGGGCTGGAACAGGAAATGCGACGGAGAGTGTTTTGTAACCTCTACATTTGGGACAGGTAAGACGATATTTCACTTTCATTAGTGGAAGTGGTCGCACGTCCGTTTTGTTATTCTGACAAGGTCAAATCGTAGTATGCTCTCACGCCAACTCGATCGCATTCCGTTTCTTCCCGCCGCCCTAGATGCGGACAATCTTCCGCGACTGCATCTTGCACCCATTCTGGACGATGACAGTGCTCCAGAAGCATTCTCGGAACGAATGTTGCAGGCTCGCTTGGCCGCTTTCTGGCGGAAATTCCCCTCGAAATCGTATACAAAGTATGACGCGACTGCGACCGAGGAAAAGTATGAGCAGTTCTGCTCTGAGTTTCTTGCCAATATGCCTGCCGCGTTCGCTCTTGAGCCAAGCGAGCAGTGGGACGAACAATCACGACGCTTACCTATTCAGCGGCAGATTCTGCATATCGCCATATACGAGAGTCTATGCCAAAACTATCGTGACTTATTGCTCTGTACAGCTGCTCAAGTTCAAAGACTTCCTGCGTACAAGCAAGTCCTGCTAGCCTCGCAGAAGAAGGCACTCGCGGTGGCAGCACTCAAGGTGCTGGACGAAGTCTCAAAGCTGCACGCGAAGCTGGGAGGATCTCATACCAGATTTCCGGGCATTATATTACCGACATTCGAAGCTGCAGTAGTTTTGGTCGGCGTGTGTGAGGACACCGAGTTCCCAGCTGGTAGGGTTGATGGCCCGTGTCATACGTCCAAGATCGACCCTCTCGGGTCAGGCACGCCACATCTCAGTCGTCAACGGTGCATTCAGGCTACTAGCGATGCACTCGGTCGCCTACGCACCCTAGCTGAAGTCAGCGTCATGGCTGAAGAAGGTGCGAATGCGTTGTCCTGCCTTCTGAACGAGAGAAGCGCGTCCAGTTCCACAAGCATGATGCAGCATATTTCCAGCCTCAGCGCAGAAAACGCATCATCACCACTGGACATAGCAAATCTGATTCAGGCACATCAGCCGACGGGCGACACTTCTTCGTGGCCGGCGTCTGATGCGTCTCCCTCAATCCTGGACGCGGGTGCGCTTAACGATTTCTTGTATAGTCCTCTATCGGACATTGCGCCAAGGTAGAAATGATTGCTATTGGGATGAATATACTGTATTTACGCGCGAATTTGGAAATGAATGTGTTTGTCAGTGATACGCGATGATGCGCACCGAGGTCTGAGCCTTTTGCGAGATGGTGGGGAATGACGCACAGTCACGTGTGAGATGGCGTCCCGAGGTCAGCCCGGTCGCGTCATCAGACCGGCAAAGGGCGCAGGAACAAAGACACGAAGACCATCGCCTTTCCACCGAGTACAAGGTACACATACATTGATCAACTATCCAGATAACTCACAGAGTTCTTCTGCCTCTCAATCGCAGATGACACTGGTCCGCCCGATGGACGATACCGTAGCTAGCCTTCGGGTCAGCCAACTCAGGAGACACATCCAACAAGTCGAAATTCCAGACTACCAAGCAGACCACTAAACGCAGCTCTAGATACGCCATTCTTCGACCCCAACAGCTGCGAGGGCCCATGCCAAAAGCAATCTGCGGTACCGCGTTTGCGTCGAACTCAACCTCAGCAGCAGCACCCGCTTTGTGGATTAGCCAGCGCTCTGGATCGAAAACCCGCATGTCGCTCGTCTCCCGCCATCCTCTCGACTTGACGGCCGTTGCACTACGACGCGCACTCTCCACATCGAAAGCCGGCGCGTGAAAGCCTGGCCCGTTGGCAATCATAACAACGTTTGTTCCTTTGGGAATGCGGTGGCCAAGAACTTCCGTGTCGCGCTTGGCCTGTCGGGCGACACTCGTCGCGTGGAGTCTCAGAGTTTCCTCCAGCACGGCTTCGAGATAGGGAACGCGCGACGCGGTCAGTTCTGCGAGTGTCGGGACGCGCTTCTCCGCATGCGCATCGCTGCATGCATGATGCAGTGCATCCCGCAGCTTACTCTGCACGTGCTGAAGACGCGTGAGGTAGATGAATGTCCAGGCAAGTGTCGTGCTGGTCGTATGCAGACCAGCTATGAATTGCCCTGCGATCTGAAGCATGATGCTTTAGCTAAGATCCAAACCTGAAAGACGTTTAGGCTAATCATGACTTACCTCGTCCATCATGATAGGATTACCGAAATCGGCCTTCCGGTTCTGCTTCTCAGCGGCCTTCTTTTCACGCACCAGCATGTGCTCGATTGCGGTTCTTGGTTCGTCCGTAACTTCAAGGCGTTGAAGGGCTCCCTGGATTTGTTCCTTCACGACTTGTCTCTTTACAGCCGTCACTCTCTTATAGCTGGGTGTCTGACGAATGAACCACATTGCGAGTTTGGGCGACATGGCTTTGGTCACAACATCGATCTTGTCGACCGTCTCATACAGCGCGGAGATGAACTCGTGGACTGGAGCCCTTGGAAACCGCACTTCCCCTTTGGGCCCTACTGCCAAACTAGTTGGGGATATCCGGGAAAGTGTCTCGATTTGTGGGCCGAGTGCGGTGTGCTTGAAATGGCGATCGAATACGAAAGACAACATCCCATCCAGCGCACTATGATCCAAGTCATCGTTGACATCGAACGCGGAACCGTTGGCGAGCTTTGTCTTGGTATCCCAGAACCTGATGAGATTCATCGAGTTATCGAACATGACAGGCCCAACTACGTTATTGAGAAAAGTCGGGCTCATCAGATCCTGCAGCCACGCTCGCGTCGTTCTCCATTGGGGGCCTGTCTTCATTCGCGCATGGAAGTTGTCCATGGGACTCAACCCGTCCGTGATAAAATTCGATCTATCAAAATCTGGTCGCCGGGTCATGATGTCGTACGCTTCGATAGGGTCAGCGAGCAGGATCCAAGGCTTTGAGAACGGCTCCACGAAGACCTGACATAGCGGGGCCTGGAGCTTGTTGACCTGCTTGACCAGCCACACGTTAAGTTCCCGAGTGACGCTGACTTCACGTAGCATGTCTGGTGCATCGCCCAGCAGTCTACGTGCTGAGGTCTGATTGTAGGGGATTCCTGGGAGTGGTCGAGGGAGGAGGCTGCGATAGATGGCGTACAAAGCTCCAAGGCAAGCGGCGACCCCGAACGAGGTTAACAACATCCCATGTCCAGAGACGTCAATTGATTGAAGGAACCTCATGACTCCAAGAAACGGTCGCAGCTTGCACAGATTGAAAGATGGGTAGTATTTGGATTCGTGTTCACGGTCTGCAAAGCGTTCCAGTGTTCAAGCCAGACGTCTATCAAATACCGGCTCAACACAGCGGCTCCCATGGGCAAACGCCACCTCGGCACAGCTATCACGATAGCCAATTTGGCACACAACCAACTGCTCAACCGATACCTGCACCGAGAATCTATGCTGTTTCGCCCGACAGACTACGGTTCAAGCGACCTGGCTAATCTCTCCTTCGGAAATATCGGCAGCTGATCGCCGACCACAATACGTACCCCCACCCGCAGCGGTCTATGATGTTGGCGATACTCACCTTTCGAGCTCATACGCAAGGGATGGCCTTTCTCCCCCGTATGCTCCCCACATCTGTGCAGAAATGCTGATAGTTTGCATAGCCGGTTTCGGCCGAATTTTGACGGCTAGTAAGCTGACGGGATTCAGCTGCGAAGACTGTCTTGGCATGGGCTTATCTCGTTCTTTGGTAATGAGGCCTATCGGCGCAACATCAGCGGATTACACACGATCTTCTGCCCGTTCATGTAGCTGATCGATTGTAGAGACCGGAGTGTGGGTTCCCCAAGAGGCAGCCTTGGAATAGATAGGACCGTTCAACACATATATCCTCTCAAATTGAAGTGCATTGGCTTGCTTGAACCATTGCAATAGTTCAGTATCGTTTTGCTGTTTGTAGCTTCGCACTTTTACAACGACTATTAGACGATTGAAGATGGCCAGATCAGAAGACCCTGAGCCTATGGCGATAGTCGGGATGGGTATGTGATCGAGCAATACCTGTATAACATGAGCTTGTGCTGACGCAGTTCAGGTTGCCGCTGGGCTGGAGGCGTCCGTAATCCTACGGACCTGTGGGAACTTTTGCTAAACAAACGCTCTGGCTACCAGGATTGGGCGGCGCCACGCTTTTCGGCAGAGGGCTTTTATCATCCGAACCCAGAGAGACCAGGCACCACGGCAGCAAAGGGAGGCTACGTGGTGACTGAAGATCCACGACTATTCGATCCATCTTTCTTCGGGATCTCAGGTCTCGAAGCAGAGACTATCGACCCCTCTCAACGTAAGCTACTGGAAGTGGTGTACGAGGCATTAGAGAGCGCAGGCGAGACGTGGGAAAGTGTTAATGGGACACGCATGGGTGTCTATGTCGCCGATATATCCTACGACAACTCGTATGCGCAGACACGTGACTGGGAGTATGCCAGGCCACATGCTACCACAGGGGTGTGTCACAACATCCTCAGCAACCGCATCAACTACGTGTTCAACTTGCGCGGGCCAAGCGTTACACTGGACAGTGCCTGCACATCTGCCATGTACGGACTCCATATGGCGATCCAGGCGATCCGGGATGGAGACTGCGACTCGGCGATTGTGGCGACAGCGAACTACATCATGGATCCAAGCATGCAGATCGCCATGGACAAGTTGGGAGCCCTGTCTGGTACATCCATGAGCCATGCGTTTGATGCCGCAGCTGATGGCTACGCCCGTGGCGAGGGCTTTGCAGCTATTTACGTGAAGAAGCCGCAACAGGCCATGCAGGACGGAAATCCGATTCGTGCACTCGTTCGCGGCAGCGCTATTGGCGCCAACGGTCGCTCCAGCGGGATAACGCACCCAAGTGGGACTGCTCAAGAGGACATCATCCGGAAGGCGTACCACAATGCCGGTAACTTGTCTCCTTCCGAAACGCCGTTTCTCGAGTGCCACGGGACGGGCACACGGGTCGGCGATCCACTCGAGGTAGAGGCTGCTGGTAAGGTTTTCGGGCCAGGACGATCCAGCTCAGAGGAGGATCGTTTGTTCATCGGATCCGTCAAGACCAATCTTGGACATACTGAAGGTGCTGCAGCTCTTGCGGGTATTTTCAAAGTCGTACTCGCCCTTGAAGCAGGAGTGATTCCGCCTAGCATCGGCGTGACGACGTTGAACCCCAGGATCGATTTTGACAAGGCCAAAGCCAGGGTCGTTACCGAAGTCATGCCATGGCCAGAAGACAAGCTGCGACGCGCCAGTGTTACATCTGCTGGATTTGGCGGCTCTATCGGGCACTGCATTCTCGACCATGTGGAAGTCGTGTATCCGGACTATGTCAAGCCCGGTATCGTCAACAGAACCAGTCCAGTCAACGGACATACGAACGGTCATACGAACGGACATGGCCATGCGAACGGCTCGACTCATAGCCATGGGAATGGCTTGGCGGTATCTCAGCCCTCTACACCTCAACCTCCTACGAAAACAAAACGAGCAGATGTCAACACACGTGAATTGGTGCTGTTACCTTTTGCTGCGCACAGCGACACTTCTCTCAAGGCCAACATAGACGCACTCGCTCAAGTCATCAAGAAACATTCACTGGCCGACGTGGCATACACACTCGCGGCACGACGTTCCAAACTTGCACAGCGGACTTTCCGTATAGTTAGCAAACACGAAGTTGCGCAGGGACTGATGGAGAATGTGGAAAAGACCTTCTCAAGTCCACCCGATGAGTCGCGCCTGGCTTTCGTCTTCACCGGGCAGGGCGCGCAGTGGCATGCCATGGGCGCCCAACTCTTCGACTACAATGTCTTCCGCACGTCAATCGATTACCTGGACCGCGTACTCAAATCTCTACCTGGAGCGCCGTCGTGGAATATCGCAGAGATACTCTCTGGGAACTGCGAACCGGACCGCGTGCAGATGCCGGATGTCTCGCAGACAGTCTGCACAGCGATACAGATTGGTCTCGTTGACCTCCTTGCCTCATGGTCTGTCCGCCCTGCAGGTGTCGTGGGACACTCCTCTGGTGAGATGGCAGCTGCTTATGCGGCCGGTCGCATTACTGCCGCCGAAGCGATTGCTGCGAGTTTCTTCCGCGGGCAAGCCGTGGCCCAGAATAATAAGAAGGGCGCCATGCTGGCTGTCAGTCTCGATCGTGAGCAGGCCAGTGATTACCTTGAGGGGCTCGAGCAGTACGTCAAGATTGCAGCTGTCAACTCGCCCGGCAGCCTGACGCTCTCTGGAGACGAGGAGGCTGTCAAGCGGCTGGCTACGACTCTCACGCACGAGGGTGTCTTCAACCGACTTCTGAAGACGGGCGGAAACGCATATCATTCACATCACATGATTGCGCTTGGCCATGCGTATGAGACACTGCTCACCGATGGCATGGCGTACCTCGAGAAGTCCGGGCTGAAAGACCAGCGCCCAAAGTACCCTCATATCCCTTGGTCTTCGTCAGTCACTCCTTGGAAGAGTCTTGCAGGAGCGAACCTTCCGGTCTCATACTGGAGAGCCAATCTTGAGTCACCCGTCCAATTCTTAGACGCAGTCGTCAATCTGGTAGGCCAGGAAGAAATCGATATCAAGGCGTTCGTGGAAATCGGACCGCACCCAGCGCTAAGAAGCCCGCTTGACCAGATTCTAAAGAGCATCGGCAAGCCACTTCCATATGCGTACGCGTTGAAGCGAGGAGAAGACAATGCAAGATCTTTGCTACAGCTCGCCGGGTCACTATTTGGTCTCAACGCGAAGATCGACTTGGCTGCCATAAACGCGGTAGATGCAGGTGCTGGGGCGCTAGAACACGGCACTACCGCTATTGATCTTCCGCCATATCAGTTCACCTACGGACCTGTCGCTTACTATGAGAGCCGGGCTAGCAAGGAATATCGTCTTCGTACCATCCCCAGGCATGACCTTATCGGATCAAGAGTAGCTGGCAACGCGAAACTTCGACCGCAATACCGTAACGTGCTACGTTTGAAAGACCTCCCCTGGTTGAGTGATCATCGTCTGCTGCCCAATGTTGTATTCCCGGCTGCTGGATACATGTGTATGGCAATGGTGGCGGCAACGCAGCTCTACCAGGGAACCGAGGACGCACAGCCAATTCTAGGGCACTCACTTCGCAACGTCAATATCAAGTCAGCACTGAACATCCCCGAGGATCAGTATGGTATCGAAATCATGCTCAGCCTGGTGCTTGACGACAAAGCTACTGCACAAGGGCCGGCTTGGGTCAGTTTCTCAGTCAGCTCCGTCACACGTGAAACGGAGCAATGGACGGAACACTGCACCGGAATGGTCAAGGTGGACATTTCTGAGCACTCGCAAGTTGGAAAGATGAAAGTAGCGTCCGAATCTCGAGCGGTGAATGCGCGCAGCTGGTACAAGAAGTTCGCTGCGATAGGTCTTGGCTACGGCCCTGCGTTCCAAGCCTTGTCTGAGATACGCGCCGACCCAATCAAGAATCATGCCGCTGCCAGACTCAATCTACAGACTACGGCGGGCATGATTAGAGGTGGAGAATCTGAATATGTTATCCATCCCACCTCATTAGACGCCATGATCCAACTTGGCCTCCTCGCATCCCATGGAGGCCAAACGGATAAAACGACGACAGCATTCGTTCCCATTCACTTATCTGAGCTGCGTGTCAAGAGTAATATTGACCAAGCATCGGGTACAGCGGTCGCATACGGCGAGTTCAAGGGCCTCCGATCTGCGTACCTCCAGCTACAGCTTCAGGATGAGGCAGGCGATGTTCTTGTGGACATTGAGGACCTCCGTTGCGTTAGTTACAGCTTAGAGGCAACGCCTTCAGACAAGACCGGAGCCAGGGGATTTTCAAGCCCGTTCACACGAATGGTGTACAAGCCAGACTTCGGAAGTCTCAGTAATGAGCAGGCTCGTTTACTATTCCCAACACCGTCGGAGAATGTCGCTCAAGGACCAGTGCTTGCTCAGCTCGATAGTGTAGCGTCGCTCATCGCCATCGACGTGACTGAGACGCTGTTGAATGACACTGACTCGATGGAAATCGATGAACTGAGAACAACGGATCGCTATATCGCAAAGCTTCGACAATTGGCCAAGAGAGGCCAAGCTGAGCAGTCAACAGAATTCTCAGCGGAGGGTCGCAAGCAGCTTCTGCAAGAGGCATACGAAGAGTACGGTCATCTTGTCGAAGTCGGGTGTATGCAGCGGCTTCACGGACACATGGCGGACATCGTGGATAGGCGCAGAAGTGGCGAAGCGGTCCTGGCTGAAGGCGGGCTGCTGACTGACTTTTTTGAGAAGAGTCTGTTCGTAACGGGGGTTCACACTCACTTATCTACTATTTTCGACTCAATGGCTCATGCCAATCCGAGCCTTCGGATCTTGGAACTCAAGGGCGGGAAGGGTCAGACGGCGCGCTTAGTGCTCGAGACGCTCAACAGTGGGAACAGCATCAAGCGATACCGCGACTACACAGTGACGGATACGAGCGAGACTGCGCTGCAGGCGGCGCGGTCGCAACTCAGCGATTACGGCGATGTGCACTTCTCGGTGCTGGACATGGAACAAGACACGCTGCCAGCGGGCTTCGGGGCGGCGTACGATGTGGTGTTTGCGTCGCAGGCCGTGCACACGGCTGCATCGGTCGCAAAAGCGTTGCAGACGGCGCGCAAGCTACTCAAGACTGGCGGAAAATTGGTGCTGGCCGAAGTGACGGGTAGCAGTGCGTGGGTTGACATGGTCGGCGGTGCACAAGAAGGATACTGGCACGGCGTGAACGACGGACGCATGCAGCGGCCTTTTCTCGATGTGGCCGGCTGGGACGCGACGCTGCGTTCGGTCGGGTTTACAGGAGCCGATATCGTGCTGGACGACTATCCCACGCCTTGGACCCAGTCGAGTGTTCTCGTGGCCGGCGTGGTCGACATGACAGAAAAGGCTGCGAATACGGCACGTGTGGCTGTTCAGCCTGTGCATCTTCTCCATAGCACAGCACAACCACCGCCTTTGCTCGCTCAACTAGCCCGTGTGCTGGAATGTCGCGGAGAATCGACGATAGCGGTACGACTTGACAGCTCAGTCCGTGAATTGCCTGTCGACGCTCGTGTAGTGGCTTTCCTGGATGATGACCATCTATTGCTCGCTGCTGATGAGCGTCAGCTAGAGCTCTTCCAGCACCTTACTCATCACACCAGTAGCATGCTATGGCTCACCTCGACGGGCATGGCAGTCGGTCGTAGTCCCAACGGCGCTATCGCTGGTGGTCTACTACGCACCATCTCAACTGAGGCACCTACAGGCCGCTTCTGCTCAGTCGATATAGACGCCGACCACTTTGTCCTGGACGATCTGCAGCAGAGTGACGAACTCATTCGCGTCCTGGCCGACTGCGAGCTAGCCTTGCAGCGACCCATTAATAGCGAGACGAGCGAAGACCGCGAATTTGCCTGGCATGGCGGCTGCCTGTGGGTGAGTCGCCTGTTGCCCGAGCCTGCGTTGTCTGCTTATGCGGAGCCTCTCGTTACACCAGCTACTCATGGCGCTGAGCTTCTACCACTGGATATGCAAGGCCCTGTCCGCGCTGCCTTTGAAACACCGGGTATCCTCAGCTCCTTGTACTTCCGTCCCTACACAGAGCTGCGCAAACAACCCCTGCCATGTGGCTACATTGAGGTTAAGGTCACTGCCGTCGGTCTCAACTGGAAGGATCTAGTCTTGGCTACTGGCCGCTTCGACGGCAACAACTTGTCATCTGAGTACGCTGGTATCGTCACTCAAGTCGGCACTGATGCTGTGAGCTCTTTCGCGGTGGGAGACTCAGTCTACGGTCTAGGGAAAGGCCATTTCGGCAACTACGCTCGCGTACCTTCAGCTTTCGCTTGCAAAGTAGGACCTACCGATGATCTTGTTCACATGGCCACCATGCCTGTTGTCTACATGACGGCAGTCTACGCATTCGAACACCTTACCCGTCTGCGTCAGGGCCAGAGTGTCTTGGTTCAGTCAGCCTCAGGCGGTGTTGGCCTGGCTGCCATCCAATTCGCTCGTGCCAAGGGCGCCCAAGTTTTTGCTATGGCTGGTTCGCAAGAAAAGCTGCAATTCCTTGTGGACACCATTGGTCTGCCCCCTGCGAATGTGTTTTCGGCACGTGAAAAGGCTGAATTCAATCGCGCTGCGGCTGCCACGCACAACGGGGGCTTTGATGTTATTCTCAGCACTGCTCAGGGTGATATGCTTCATGAGACAGCCAAAGCACTCGCTCCACTCGGCCATCTAATCGACATTGGCCGCACAGACGTCGAGGATGCCCGTGCAATCAGCCTTGAGCTGTTTCAGAAGAGCGCCAGCTTCTCATCTTTCGATCTTGCCCGTGTCGTAGATCGCGACCCTAAACTAGGTGCCGAGCTTATGACCGCGGTGGACGCTCACTACCGTGCTGGGCGCATCAGTCCCATCCAACCTCTGGCTATCTCGGACATCTCTCAACTCCACCAGACGTTGCTGGCTTTCTCCAAAGGCAAACATGTTGGCAAGCTAGTTGTGACATTCGCATCAAACTCACTGGTGCGCATGGTACAGGCACCACCAGCCGTCACCTTCGACCCAGCAGCCTGCTACATCATCACTGGTGGACTGAGCGGTCTGGGACGGTCTATTATCCAGTGGATGGGTGATCGCGGTGCACGAGAACTCGTTATCTTGTCCCGCCGTGGTGGGAGCGCGCCCGAAGCGCAGACACTTGTGAACAGGCTCGCCGAATCTGGAATTCGTGTTCATCCTGTTGCTTGCGATCTTGGTATTCGAGAGAGTGTCGCAAAAGCCGTTGAGTACGCGTCCACCATTGGCAAACTCAAGGGCATCGTCCACTGCGCCGTTTCCTACCAAGATATCTCTTTCGACAAGGTGACAGCCCCTGGCTGGCAGGATGGCCTCGCCGCGAAAGTACTTGGCACGCAGAACCTACACGACACTACCAAACACTTGCCGTTGGAATTCTTCGTCATGACCACTTCCATCCTCTCGGTACTGAGCTTCGCGACTCAGGCTGCGTACACGGCCGCCAACAACTTCCAGGACCAGTTCGCACGCTATCGCCGCCGTCTGGGACTGCCTGCTACGGCTGCCCAGTTTGGCCTTGTCAATGACGTTGGCCACCTAAGCACCGACACCACCACACTGGATTTGATGGCACGGAACAAAGTCCTGACTGAATCTGAAAGCTACTTCCTCCGCCTTCTCGAGCCAGCATTTCTTCCCCCTTCCAATGTAACTGCCACTGACCCCCTCGCCGCCGCTACCTACGTAACGTACATGGATCCGGCACACATGCTCGCAAAAGAGCGCGACGACGCTGAGATGGGTATCCGAAGCGTCGCAACACCTCGCTGGCATGGCGACGCTCGCGTCTCCCATGTCATCCGTGCATTCGAAGATGCTTTGCACCAGGAAGAGAGCGGTGCCGACTCTCCACAAAAGGACACTGCACGCTCATCCACAGCGCAGGTCCGCGACGCATTCGGTGCTGCTGTGCAAAAGGCTCGCGACGCTACCCCTGGCTCAGATCAACTCGCGTGCCACACGGAAGCCCTCGCACTCGTCACATCAGCCATATCCAACGCGGTTGCGACTATGCTCTTGCTTGATCCAGCGACTGTGAATTGCGCGCGTGCTGTGTCAGACCATGGCGTTGATAGTCTGATTGCCGCAGAGTTGCGGAATTGGTTCCACGTTGCGTTGGGGTACAAAGTTAGTATGGTGGATCTTCTGGATTCGCGCATGAGTATTGCGGCGTTGGCGGAGAGGATAGTGCGTAGTGTTTAGAATGATTCCGATTTCTAGCATAGGAATGCATAGAGAATAGAAAAGAGTTTGTGATCATCCTTTGTGTTCTTGGCTTCTTCTACGCTACCACGCTAATCGGGAGCTTCAATCGGCTAGCGCCGATCTTCCCCCTGGTGTTCGCATGTGATTTCCGATGCCCCAGGTTCCTGGAAGCCCGTCGTGCAAACATCGTGGGCACTTTGTTTTGTGGCGCCATGCCTCGTCTAATTACAGCTCGCAATGTGGTCATATTCTTCAATATCGTTCTTCTCACCGCGCTATTTGTCCACCTAAAGTTCGAGCTTTGGGACAAGACGGCCGCTGCAGCTGGATCGACCAAGTCGCACCTTCCCGACGAACTGTACGATGAACAGCAGCCAGACGAGTCATCGCACAACCCGAAAGGGAAGCCGCTAAAAGCGAACGATGGCATCAAAGCGCGTCGGACCGCTGTTGTTGTCGCCAGCCAGAGTTCTGAGAACGCAACGTGGCTCGAGGAGTACTTCCCGCACTGGGAGAAGAATATCTACCATGTCGACGATCCGAGCGCGGAGCTCACGGTGCCGAAGAACAAGGGCCGAGAGAGTATGGTCTATCTGACGTATGTACCGACCTACATCATCTTTCATCCCATGTCTGGCATGCTAACGACGAATGTCGGCGCAGCTATATCATCGACCACTACGCGTCCCTCCCCGACAACGTCCTCTTCATCCACCCGAATCGCTACCAGTGGCACAACGACGACCCCGACTACGACGGCCTTCCCATGCTACGTCACTTCCAACTCCCCTACCTCGAGAAAGAAGGCTACGTCAACATCCGCTGCGCCTGGTCCCTCGGCTGCCCCAACGAGATCAAGCCGCTGGCCGAAGCGGGCGAACACAGAGAGGCCGTGCATGCGGGCGGACAGTATAAGAAGGCTTTTGAGAGCCTGTTTCCGGGGGAGAAGGTGCCGGATGCTGTTGGGGTGAGCTGCTGTGCGCAGTTTGCGGCGACGAGGGAGAAGATTAGGGAGAGGAGCAAGGAGCAGTATGAGAAGTATCGGGATTGGATTATGGGGACTGAGTTGGGGGATGCTATCAGTGGGAGGGTGTTTGAGTACTCCTGGCACAGTAAGTCCCTATCCGCTAGCATATCGCGCCCTACCTCACGACCCCGCTCGTGATGAGGCTCTGCGCGCTTTTTGCTTATGCGAGTAGTGTGGATCATGTGCTAATAAGTTTGACAGTGATATTCGGTAAACCTCCCGTTCATTGCCCAACCGCGAAAGAGTGCTACTGCAAGACCTTCGGATTATGCGACTTGGAATGTCCGGATGCGGGAAGTTGTAAAGGACGATACACTTTGCCGCCCTACTCGAGTCTACCAAAGGGCTGGCCGTATGTGGGATGGGAGGGTCAGGAGCGCCAACGCGCCGGTCCAGAACAGTGATGGGATGCTCGTGGCTCACGAATATCCACTCCACCACGCTGGAAGACTCCGCCACGCCGCTTCACTTTCCCGCTTCCATCTCTATGGACCGAATAATCGCCTTAGCTCGATGCAACGAGGCACATGCGCAACCGTTTCAATAAGTCATGCGCGGCTGAACACGTTACTACGTGCCACGAAGTGCGGAGCCCATCAGTTGGGTCGCTGTAAGAGCTGGTCAGGCCATACACTTATGAGGAGCACAACAATCTCGACGGGGTGACGCGATCTCCTAGTACCGTTCGGACACGATCGAAATAAAGAGGCATCCATTCATTCGTCAGTATGAAGCCCGACTAGCTGCAAGGACGGCCACTCGTTACCCATTGGAGTACTCCCCTCGCGATCAAATCCCGCAATCAGGATTTCAATATCTTCTGCGCCAGGCAGGAAAAGCACAACCCGTCGCGAGGGTCGATCACATGAGGTATCGCATGTCCTTTCTGACCGATGGCGTACTACTTGGCCCCCAACGATTAGGCTTATTGACAGTCTCCTGGATCCTCAGGCTCTAATGCACAACGTCCTGTGGGACGGCTCCAACAGGTTGCAGATAGCCTCGTATACTCCCGTTTCCCCGATGCTCCCACACGTCGCTCGAACAGGGCCAAGGGCAATCAATATGCATCAGGTCTACATCCCCGAGCCTATGTCTCAGCATGCATAATTGCGGCACTGGATGTATAGGGAGTGATCTTAACCGCTTCTGGAATCAGCCTGGCGGGTCAAGTACTCTTGTTGAACCGTTGAAGGATGTAGGGCAAGGCTGAGCATTTATCAAGGCGTACATCGATACGCACGGCATGATGGGGGCCAAAACTACCTGGCGATGTCGAATCAACCTCGCGAAACACATCTACCCGTCAGCTGGTCATCTAGTACCGAGACTTGAACTCTTGATTCGCAGTCGTGCGGGGTTTCTCCTAGGCTGAGACTACAAGAAAGAGCAAGGTTGTGTGGGACCAGATTTGTTTGCGCAGAGCCGCACGCTTACGTCAAGCGAAGCTCCACCTATGCGGCTCACTTGGCACGACCCCGTCAACCCGACTTGTTGCACACAACATATTCGTATTCAAAACCGCATGCGACACAGAAAATGACCGTGTTTGATCGGTATGAGTGTTGCAACACATCATGATCCCAATTCAACCCCGCACGATATAGTTGGGCCCACAGAGCCTCTCAATTTTCAGCCTTCCCGACGCAAACAGAAAATCAACTAGGGACTACGCGATCCGAATATAGCTTACATCATTGCATGGATTATGTTCCGACTAGCATGTAAATGCGCCCTAAGGGATGCGGCTCTGCGACCGTGGGAGTATTCAAAGCCCGTGCTTGCTGCGCATCCAGCGAGCGGTACTCCACACCTGACCCAAGCCACCTCTTGTTAGCTTGAATCCTTTTCTCTCGTCTAGATCCCGAGATCTTGCTTTTCTTAGCCGATTACTCGCATGGAATTCAACTCACGTGCCCTCTTCGCCTCATCTATATATCTTATTCTTGTTCTATGACGACTTCCCTCGACCAACTACCTTTTGACTTACTATTCTGTATCACCTTGGATTTGGATCTTGAGGACATTGTTCACCTGGGGCAAACATGTCGACACTTGAGAGCCGTACTAGACGAAAGGACAGTCGTCAGGCGTGCTGTCGAGGTCAGATGACGCCAAACGGTCAATCAGCTTACACCAAAGGCTGACGCTGCTTATAGATCAACTATCCCCACACCGAGGAAGCCTCTCTAGCCCGAAAAGAGGAGGTTACATACAAGGAAGCCTTTCAGGCTATTTATGACAGGAGGCATGCTTTGTCAACTGCGCATCCATTCTCGGCTCGCGTTCTGGGCCGAGGAAATAACTTTTTGTATCGACAGGGGACTATATGTGTTTTTGACGCTGGGGCGGTCCACGTCACCTATCTAAATTCCAGGAAGGAAACGATTCGTCTCGATCTCCAAGCCATCATTCAGCCTGTTTTGAAGTCGAAGTTCAGAGCGTCTGGTAGCTTCAGCACGCGCTTACTTTATTATGCTGATGAGATCCTCTCGGTGCATGCTATACCGAAGTACAATTCGGACGACAGCCATATATTCGCCATCAACACGGCAGCAAACCTTTCGGACGGAGAAAGAGTAACCGAATCGGTGCGACTACTCGAATGCTCTAAGCTTTTTTCTAGGCACAACAAACATTATCTATACTACGGTACACATAGTGGGATAGGCGATGACGGCCATCACAAATGGGAGATTGAAGGCATCTCACTCCACAAGAACTTTCCGATAACTGAACGCGAAAGACCGGTACTGCTCGACAAGTTTCACGGATCTGATATTGGCTCTACGATAGCTTTCGAAATACACAATGGCTACTTTTACGCCGTCTCCAATCAGGGCACCTTTGAGGTCGAAGAGATCGATTACACCTCCTTCTATCATGTTGTTCGCTTTCCATTAAGTAAACCGGATGATGTCCAGAAGGATGAGCGCCTCTTTCGTCGACAGCACAAGCAAGGACCAATCCACGACTCATGGACTGATCTTGCGCTACAGCTGGACGAGCGCACGAACGAGACGGTGATCGTGGAGTCGCGTCGAGAGTGGGCCCAAGCATCTTCTCGCCAGTCACGCACCTTCTACGTTACTAAGATGGACTTTCAAGACGAGGATGATACCGAGGAACTATCTGATGAATTACTTGGGCCTGAGGATGATCTCTTCCTCCCGCTCATAGATTCATCGAACAACCCCCAATGGAAACCAACACCCGACCTCTACAGCTGGAGCCAACACCCGGAGTTCTCGCCCACTGACCCCTCACCCCGATCGTTCACCCTCTCCCGAACCAAATTCCGAGCATACAGTTACCCATGCACCTCCTTTGTCGACCTCGTAGAAGACGACCGGTGCTGCCCAAACGCCTCTTCAACCCCATGCCTCAGACTACGAATAGGATCACGCCGCGAACTAGGCCTCTCCTTCACTTCCACTCACAGCACCAACAGCGCCAGCAAAGGAAAAGCCCCCATCGACGACACCAAGCCCTCCTTCGTGGACACCCAAACACGCTACCGACAGTCGCCCGTCCGCATGTGGCCCCCTCCCTCGTCGCGCTGTCCCTGCTCAGCGCGCCTCCACAACATACTCAACCCAACCCTCCCAACCACCAACTCATCGACCTCCACCACACGCAGCGTGACCGGCGTCCTTGACTCCAAACGCCTAGTCTTCATGATCAAACCAGGGCGCTCTTACGGCTCCAACGAAGACAACACATCAGGCAGCATCGTGGTCATAGATTTCTGCCGTCCGCTCACGGCTACGGGACCGACACCCTCAGCATCAATTCCGTCGTCACTTGCACCCAGGCCATCGTCGCTGGCACGCTGCGATAGTAAGATGGGCGATGAGTTGGTGACGCCAAAGAGGTGTGTTGACCCGTTGGTCTGGCATTGGTCGGATGATTCAAAGGGGCGCTGCAGGCGAGGGACGTGTCAGTGAGTGGTTGGGGTAGGTTGCCTTGG